AGATCCCTGTCTATCAAACGGTTATGTTAAAAGCCTGCTTCTGACACCATGCCCCCCAGGCCTCACCTTGTCAAAAGCAGGATAGACGGCACGGATCTCCGTCAACCAACCATATGGCATGTGACCCACAGGGTATGTCGCTGTCAAAATTGCCACTGCCTACAGGAGGAAGAAGGGGCAGCGTTAGCGTGGGTGTCCACCAAGCTCTCTAGTAGCTGCAGCGCCATGTGACAGGGCCAGCAGCAGATCCCTCCACACTGGGTGACCAGCATCCGCCAGCCACAGGACAGCCCCGAATGGAGCAGAGGTGACTCCAGGAGGAAGTGACCCTGCACAAATCCAGTGAGAAATTGGCTTGGAGCTCCAGCTTGAGAAGCCACGATTTCAGCCAGGGTTCCTCCCCTTGGGCCCAAAAATTCTCTCTAGCCTAGGCCAATTCTTGAGGCTCAGTGTGGAATTGGGAGCCCTCTTGGCACTCTGCAGAGTCTGCTCAGCACCCCCCTCCACACCCCCATTCTGTCTTTCGAGGGGACTGACACCATGGGTGCAGCTCTGAGCTACTTTCCACCTGAGCTCATTCCAGGCTACTCGGCCAGCAGGGACCAGTTTAAAATTTTAATTTAGTAAAACTTAATAAACGTTCATATAGGAAGAGCGATCGATGTAATTCCACAAAAAAAAAAAATGAAAGTTTCTTTTCTTATGTGACTGAAAAGAAGAAAAACTAGAACACGGCACCTAAAGCGCCATCTGGCAGAGCTCGACTGTCACTCACTGGGAGGAAGAAGCCGGTGCTTTCCTAAGGGACAGAGCAGCAGTGCCCTGCGTGCCAGGAGCTGCGGTGCGGGGTGGCGTGGCCTGGCGAGGCGTGGGGAACAGCTCAGCGCCGTGAAGAGGCGCACCTCGCCAGCCTTCACCTCGGCTCACCAGCTGTGTGTCGTGAGCCCTCCAGGGACTCCCTCTCTGTTCCTCCGGCAGAACAGTGAGAACATTAACACCCATCGCACAGGGCTGGTGGAGTAGTGAAGTGCACACCGATGCCTGCCACATAAGCAGCCACCATGCCACTGCCAGCAATTTTAGAATGGCTCTCGAACAGAATTTGCTATTTACTTCTGTTTATTTGTTTTAAGGAGACAAAGGGTTTTCCCGCACACAGGTCATGGGGGTCTCATACTTTTTACTGGAAAACTTGAAGCATTCAAGTAAAAAAGCTCCTGTGACAGAAGCCACCCAAGAGGACATCCATGACTCAGAAAACAAGGTCCAGGAGCAAACCGAGGGGAGGGAAAGCGTTCTGCTTTTGATTTACGGGCTTCTCCCTGCCGGCCAATGTGAGCAGCTCCCAAGACGTGGAAACTGGCAGGATGCTCCAGGCTGGAGCCCTGCTGGCAGGGCAGGCCTGGGCTCCGGGCTCCTGCAAAAGCCACTCACATAAACAGGAGGCCCTAATGAGTGGCCACCAGCCTTCCTCGAGGATCCGCGGTGCCAGAGAGGGAATTAATTCTCCAGAGGGCCGCGGAGGAGGAAGCAAGTGAAGTCATTCTATTTGTTCATACCCAGCTTGAAAGAGGGAAGAAATGAGTCAACTCCTTCTTTGGAGAAGCTGCCAGTTTCCAGATAAACTTCTTGAGTTGTGAGGGAGTAAATACAGGAGATCCTCATTTGAGGAAGGCAGACTGCCAGGGAGCACCTGATGGGTGGGTGCCGTGTGCTGCAGGGGGTGACATGCAGGTGAGGGTAGGCAGGGTCAAAGTGGAGGTACTGTCCCTTCGGCTACCACCTGACAGATGCCATCATTCCCGCAACTACAGGGAAGAGGCCACGGGCCGCCGCCATGGAGGAACGGAAAGGCCACTGTGTGGGGGGCGGAAGACCTATTTCTAACACCAGCCCAGCTGCTAGCTACTCCTGTCCCTTCACCTTTCCTTCCTGGGCCTCCTTTCTGGGAAATGAGGATGAAGCAGATGTTTTCTTCCATAATTATAAGAATTTAAAATCACATGTCCATAAGTCACAGAATGAGCTTCTCACGGCCTTCCCGTATGGCTTCCATAATTGAATACTGTAGAACCTTTAGAGCTCTTGAGAGGAACTGGAAATAAGTTTTAATTCTCGTTTCCCCAAAACAAGGCGTTTGCAACTCCCGGCCCCCTGTCCCCAGCCATGTGCCTACCTCTGTAGCTGCAGAACTGCCACCAAGGTCCCGGGAAACAAAGAGGTTGACGATGGGCCTACTGATTCTCTGTGTGGCCAAAATCAGAGCCAAAGGCCACCAGAAGCTCAGCATCTTTCTTATTGTTGCATCTCCCTGCGTTAAGAAATGGAATTAAAGTCTGTTAAGCTCTACAAGTAGAACAGGAAAAACAACTTAGAATGGAAGCTTTTTCTTCTTAGGCCAATCATGAGTCAATTCACTGTACTTAACAGTTATATAAGGAAATGCCTCTCTGGATAAGCCAGGTTGAATTAAAATAAAACATACAGTTATTAGAAATTAATTCAGACAGTTGGCAAGCCAAGGTGAGATCAACACAGGCACCGAAGCTTGATGGTTCCCAGCCACAATCTTCCATCCAGGGAATCCCTATCCAGGGTGTAACCCAGGCCCACGGCCTGAGAAACAGGTTTGAAATTAGTCTTTGTTTGTGTCACCACACTGACCGGCTAGAAGACATGTCAGGAGGAGGCTGCTCTTAGAAATAGAAAATTGTTATAATCTATTTTGGAATCACTCAGCAAATTAATATGCCTAATTATTTCTGCACTCTGAGAATTGACCGCAGGGTTCTTACTCTCAAAGCTTTCACAGAAGGCACATAAACTACTCAGAAATATAAGCAAAGTAAAAGAAAGAAAAAGGATTTGCTGAGACCTCTGCAGCTAAGGTGTGTACTGTTGGCAAAGCCTTGCTTTCAATGTGCAATTTTGGTTTTGATTCTTTGAAAGGGTAAGAGTTACATCACACAACCATCTCAGCCACTTTGATTTATTTCCCTTTGCTGGTGGCTGGATGTTAAGAGATTGATTGTTACTGTAAAGACCAATTTGATGTGGTTGGCCCAGTGGTGGAAATAAGTAGGGAGGATTCCACTGATGGTCTGACCTCAGGTAGAGGTAAGTGGTCAACGTGATTACTGTTTTGACATGACAAAAGTGATGTGTGGTCAAGGGGGGGCAGGTGGTGGAGTGTGGTGATATATTCAGGGCTACACATGAGCATTCTTATCTGCCTTACAGCTAAATGGAAACAAACCCGACGATGCCCAACACCTGTGGGTGGAACTCTTAGCATTAAGTAAATCAGACGTTGGGATGAACAGAATGGTCACTGGGAGAGGATCTGTATCTTACTCTTGCTTGTTTCTTATTCAACTTCCAAGGCAAATCAGACTCCTCCGAGGAGGCTCCCTAGACCAATCCCAGGCCCCTTCTCTGGTTTTGGAAGCTCTCAGATTCTCATTAAAGTTCATGTGCTGTCGGGGGCTCATGCCCAATGCCTGCTTCTGTGTTGGTGTTCCCTGCCATGTGGGCTACAAAGCTGCTGGAAGGTAGAGACCGTATCTCAGCATTTCTGTCACCCCAAGGTACCAAAGGCTCTGTTTGGTCTCTAGGAAGTAGGTTCATGAATAAGAGACTGGCACTGGCTACAGAAATTATGAGCACAGTCCGGATGCCTGCTGTGCAACTAGAAATCATAGAACTCGGACTCAGAGCTGCCAGGGGTCCTAAAGCTTTCTTGACTGCAGAATAACTCACCATAGAGAGAAAAGGAGGCACAAGTGTGGTACCCATCCATGGCCTGACACCGTGTGCTATGTCTCGGTCTCCTCCCGGGGCCATGGGGAGGCTGGACAGTGACCTCTGAGATCCCTCCACCCCCAGAGTTCATTCACCATCTTTCCCTTGAGGACACCCGGCACCAGGCCTTTGGGAACAACATCATGAGGAGGAGCTCGTGGCACCGAGTGCTTGTGGTGCACAGGGGTGAAATGCAAGCTTCCACTCTGCTGCAGAGACCTACCCCCAGCTCTGGTCCGCTTCGGTCAGGGATGATGTCGTGGATGTTCTTGTAGTAGCCCAGGCACAGGGTGGTGCAGCGCACGAGCGCGCCCATGTACAGGGAGAGGATGGGGATGAGCAGGGGCTCCCGGCATTCCAGGTGGCTGTGAAGCAAAATGGCTACGAAAACGACCTGGGAGAGAGGAGGAGGGGCGGTCAGTGGGAGGAGAGGGAGGCGGGCGGCAAGGTGCAGGCCCACCCTCCCCAGGGAGGACCTTGATTTTGATGGAGAGGGCAGAAACGTGGGCTGTGGCTCCACATGGCTCTCCTACGACTCCCATGAAGGTATCGGGGTTCACTGGAGGAACTCACCCTGGTTTTGTTAGATGCCCTCCCAGGAATTACTATAAAACCACCTAAATTAAAACCTAAAGTACTAACTTACTTCTACCAGTGGAAGAGGCTGAAATTACCAGAGCTGCAAGAGCTTAAAATCATAATAAAGCACCAATCTCTATTGATGGTACAGTCTCCAAAGCAAATCTGATAACTTATTAACCTCCTCATCCTGCAGAAATCAGAGAATCAGTCCAGCCTCTGCCCAGAGACCACCTGGGACCCATGCTCAGAAGGTTCTGGAAGCATACTGAGTGAAAAAGTAGGTAATTGGGCAGGAGGCTTATTCCTGACCAACAACTCCAATGGCCAAGTATCCATGGGTTGCGAAATTATCGGCAGCCAGGCCAGGATCTGCGATCTCAGGACCTTGATCCCCTCTGCTGCAGGGAGCTCAGAGCAGCAGCAATGGAGAGATCTCCTCTGAACGAAATCAAAGTCTTAGATGCCAGGGTGGTTTGCTCTCAGCACAGACGGACATGTGTGCCCAGGCTGTCATTCTGAAGTGCAGTGAGGCTGACCTTGTCACTGAGTCCTCAGGGTAGCCCAGAGTGCAGAGGTGCCATGTGAACCTCACCAGGCTGCCTGGAGCACAGGCCATGTGAGTGGACACACATCCAGGCAGCCCTCACACTGTGCCAGGGACACAGTGACACTGTGACACTGATGGAAACAGGATGCCCACGACTCTCCCCGTGATTGCTGCTTCCAAGTGGACCACTGCAGTGTGTTAAGGGAAGGACGCCTTGCTGGGATGCACGGGTGGGGCAGGAGACTGGAGCTTTGTGGTGTGCACATAAGACCTGAGGATTCATCTGATTGAAATCCCCTAAGGTGCCCTCACACCCTGCAGACTCGGGGTGAGTATATCCACAGCAAGCTTCACATTCTGCAAAACCCACAGCCTAAACCACGATGGGAATGTTTAGTGGCTGAAAACTGTGAAAAACGAATTCATAAAGATCAACACCTCCTCTGCCCAGCCCAGGAAACTCCCGGGCTGTCAGGAGGCTCTGCAAGACAGAAGCCCGCGGAGCAAGCAGGGCCAAGGAGAAGGACCTGGATGACAGGCAAAGGGAAGACACGACAGCGTCCCCGAGTGCAGAGGGGACCAGGTGCATGACTAAGCCAGTGGAGCTCCCAAGGCCAAGGTGAAGATGTCGCCAGCCTCCCCAGCTTTCTAATAGACTGATGCCATGTGGCCCAGCATTTTGCCACAGAACTGACATCTTCATGGCAGAATGTATCATTTATCACCTCAAAATATCATGTGCACCCTTTGCATTTCAACCTGGAATTACAATTCTGAACCTGAGAGAGCCATCAAAAACATGTCAGATTATTTTCTGCGGGAACCAACGGTTTCAGTGGAGAGCATTTTCCCGTGAGAGCTGGCATCCGCTGGTCCAGTGCCAGGTGCTGGGATTCAGTGATAATAGACGGCCCCTGAATCTGTTCTGGGGCCGTCAGTCTAAGGGAGGAGGCAGACACGCTCATCATACAGTGATCCCGTGAGTGTGCCCTGCCAGCCCGAGTGAGGCAGATGGGTGGAGAAGGACAGAGTGTGGGGCAGCAGGGGAGGAGGGCATCTCTGCTGGGAGCTGTCAGCCAGGAGTGAGCAGGGCTCAGGTGGGAGGGAGGTGGGGCGATGAGGCAGAGCACTCTCCTGGGCAGAAGGAGCAGACCCGCAAAGACCCCGGGGAGACGGCTCATCCATGGCCAGGCCCTGCAAGGAGGAGCTGTGACTGGCTGACTGCAGAACAGAGAGCCAGTGGGGAGAGGGGAGTGCGGGGCTGCAGAGGCCTGTCCACCTTCAGACCCTCCGTAGGCCAAGATCAGGGTTGGGATTTTTATCAAGAACACCAGGAGGCCAGAGCTCCAGAGGCACAGTCAGACAGCATGCAGTCCTCACAAGACTACCAGGAGGCTGCTTTTTAAGCAGGTGGTGAGACAGTCAGAATTTCACTGGGAAAAGACCACTATGGC